AGGGACCACCTCGAAGGGGAGACCCTCCAGCCGCCTATGCCTGGGCTATGTGTGTGGTAAGCTCTGGCTCAGACCGTAGTTCTGGGGTGGCTAAGGAGGTCACACCACTTCCAAGCAAACTCAAAAGACTGCAAAGCTCCCTTGTCTAAGGGACAGCCCTGGCTGACTCCAGTGACACTTACCATAACCCCAGGCGCCAGGACAGGCCAAGTGGGAGTCATGACATGGGTCGAGTTTTCCTGCCATGATAGGATGAGGCACAACCCTAGGGGTGGGGGAACCAGGTGCACTAAGAACCCACCCGCAGGGCTCTGCAAGGAGAGACAGCACAGCCCAGGGCCTGCCCTACCATCCGCCATGCTGGAGCCATTCCAACTCTAAACAAATATGTCTTGGAGAAAGTGCAGCCAGAGTGCTCCTTGGAGGCAAAGATGTTGAAGCTTCTTCTCATATACTTTGAGCATGTTGCTAGGAGGGACATGATGCTGGGAAAGGTGGAGGGTTGGCAAAAGAGAGGAAGACCCTCGACCAGGTGGACTGACACAGTGACTGCCGCAAATGGGATCTAGTGTGTCAGGAAGCATGAGGATGGCACAGGAGAGGACAGGGTTCAGATATGTGGTTCATAGGGTCACTATGGGTCATACTCGACTCGATGGTTCCTAACAACTACCATCAGCACCACCTTCTCCTCTTCCTGCAATTCCCATTCCAAAGCGGCCTCTTTGGCTTCCCAATTGGCAGTCTTCCCCCCACCCCTTTGGTGTTTTTTTTTTAAATTATTATTAAATTTTATTAGTTTTAATGAACATTTACAGAGATTTTGTGTTTTCATTCATTCATTGTTGCACCGTTTTCTCTACCCTCCTCCCCAGTTCGTTCTTCTTCCCCCCCCGAATGTCTGTTTTAATTGTGCAATTGCCACAGTGTTTGTCAAAGCCAGTTCTGAGTAATTTTCTTTGTCAGTGTGTCCTTTGCCATTCCCTATCACTCCTCCCTGAGAGAGACTTCACCCTGAGTCATAAGGAAAAGGGGATGGCGTATTCTCTTAGCTACTTCCTGCTGAAAAGGGACGCTGTAGGTTTCAGGGTGAAGATCTTCTCTCACTACTCTAAAGGGCCCCTTTGGCAGTAGGAAACACATAGACTATTATGGAGATTGATTTTGGAATTTAGATGCACTGTTATCAATTGTGCTTAGCCATACATGTTCATATCCTTGAAGATGTATCATGGAAGTGTTGCAGCCTAGAAGACACAAATTAACTAACAAGTTAAAAGTACATGAGTCAAAAATTAAAAAGCAATAATATTCTGAGTAGAGGTTCTAATAGTGGCACAAATCAAGTTACACAGGGAAGGTGGTTCTTACAATAAAAGGCCTATAGACTAGTACTTTGTCTATTATAGTGTAGAGGCTAGGGAATCACAAGATGTAGAGGCTCAGCTATGTCACTTATGGTTCTTAAGTCCTGGAGCAAATGCCATCTACCACTGGGTTGTTTTACAACTCGGAGGTTTGCATGCAAGGTAGAGGTAAAGTAAGGAACTGCTTATGAGGTTTTCCGTCCATTCCAATAACTAAGAGATCGTGAGAAGAGTTGGGACCTCAGAAGGCTTTTAGGACCAATTAGTAGGCTCTGTGTCCAGGAGAAAATGAATATACTTAAAAGTAATGTTAGTGCTCACCCACAGCTCTTCTGGGAGGATCTAAATCGTTGAAGCGTCCTCCTTTGTTTCCAGCCAATTGGCAGTCTTGTATCTTTTCCCACAAAAGAGCATTTCTGTAGTCCTTCCCTAGCCCTGTGGGAAACACACAGCTGAAAGAAGCAAACTGTGGGAACAGGAACAGCCATCCAATCTTCTTCCAGAACTGTTTTTGGAAGCTTATGATGGAGTGGAGCTTTCCTCTTTAAAAAATATTTTATTTTAATTGTGATTTTGACAAAAGTTTACAGAAAAGTTAGATTTTTCATTCATTCATTGTTGCACATTTTCCTCCTTCCTCCTCCCCCGGCTCACTTCTTAAAAAAAATAATCACTAATTGTTGCACAAAGTTCTCCCTTCCCTCTTTCCCTTCACCACCACCCTCCCATCCTCTTTGTAATGTACTTTTTATTCTGGACTGTTGTCATACACATAAAGCCTAATCATATATTCCTTTTAAACAGTTCTCTCTCTCACCTGTTCCAATACAGTGTTGATTATCTATCCACTCTTTTCCTATTCTCCTCCCAAGTCTACGTCTCATTCCTGCTTCATAACAGTGGTGTTGGGGAGTATTTGTCCTTTAGAGACTGAGACATTTCACTCAACATTATGTCTGCCAGGGTCACCCACATTGTGTAATGTTTTACAAGTTCCTTGTTTTTCAGTGTTGTGTCATATTCCATTGTGTAAATATAGCATAGTTTTTCTGTCCATTCATTTGTTGATGGGCACTTTCCATCTTTTTTGCTACTGTGAATAACACAGCAATAAGCATACATCTTTTTGGATGGCAGTTCTGATTTCTTTAGGGAATATTTCCAGCAATGCAATTTCTATTTCCATAAAGTGCCAAACTGCCTTCCATAATGGTTGAACCATTTTACATTCCCACCAGCAGTGAATAAATGTTCCAATCTCTCCACAATCTCCAGTATTTGATGTTTGCTGCTCTGTTGAACTTTGCTATTGTTGCTAGGGTGAGATAATGGCTCATAGTTGTTCTGATTTGCATCTCTCTGATGCTTAGGGATTTTGAACATTTCTTTATGTGTTTGCTTGTCACCTGAATGTCTTCTTTGGTAAAGAGTCTATTCATATCCTGTGCCCATTTTGCAATTAGGTTGTTTGCCTTTTTCTTGTTAAGGTGCTGGAGTATTCTATAAATTGTAGATATATGTCTTATCTCCATGTTTTTTAATCTATATGCAGAACAGATTATCGGGGAGACTGGGCTCTATGAGGAGAAATGTGGCATCAGGATTGGAGGAATAGTCATCAACAATCTGCATTACACAGATGACATAACCCTGCTTGCTGAAACTGAGGACCACCTGAAGCACTTGCTGCAGAAGGTCAAGGACTGCAGCCTTCAATATGAATTGAAGCTCAATATCAAGAAAACAAAGATTCTCACCACTGGGCCAATTGGCAGCATTGTGATGGATGGTGAAGAGATTGAGATTGTTAACAGCTTCAGTTTGCTTGGCTCCACAGTCAGCACTCTTGGCTCCAGCGGCCAGAAAATTAAAAGACGTATTGCGTTGGGAAAATCTGCTATGACAGTCTGGAAGCTAAGATGCTCCTGATCCAGGCCATGACATTTGCAATAACTTGCTATTCATCAGAGAGCTGGACAATGATGAGGGATAATAGGAGAGTTGCTGCCTTTAAGCTGTGGTGTTGGAGAAGAGTGTTGAATATACCATGGACTACTAAAAGAATGAACATATTCATCCTGAGAGGGTTAAACCAGGCTGCTCCTTGGAGGCAAGTATTTTGAAGCTTTGTCTGACATAATCTGGACATGTTGCAAGGAGGGACCAGTCCTTGGAGAGGGAGATCATGCTTGGGAGGGTGGAGGGAAAGCGCAGGAGAGGAAGGCCCTCTATGAGGTGGATTGATTCAGAGACTGGGGTAATCGGGATGGGTGTGTCAGAGGCAGTGCGACTGGCACAGGACAGAGCAGAGTTTAGGGCTGTTATACATAGGTCGCTATGAGTCGCAGGCGACTTGATGGCACATAACAACAACAACAACATGAGTCCCTTAACAGATATGTCCGTTGCCAAATTATTTTTTCCCCCAGTCTGTGGCTTTCCTTTTTACATTGTTGAAAAGCTTTTCGATGTGCACAGTAATTTGACTCTTAAAAGGTCCCATTCACCTATTTTATTCTCTCCTGGTTATAGGTTTTTCAGGATGCTTGGAAGACTGTTCATGTTGTGGATTAGGGCTTCTAGAGTTCTTCAAAGTTTTTCTGAAATGAAGTTTATGGTCTTTTGTTTTACTCCTAGGTCCTTGATCCATCTTGAGTTGGTTTTTGTGTATGGTGTGAGATGTGGGTCTTGCTCGTGTTTTCTACAGATGGTTATCCAATTTTGCCAACACAATTTGCTGAAAGGCTATCATTTCCACATTTGACTGATTTCGTCTTCTTGTCAAAAATCAGTTGACCATAGGCAGATGAGCTAATTTCTGGGTTCTCAGATCTCTTCCATTGATCTATGTGTCTGTCATTGATGTATGTGTAATAGTGAGCTCGTGCACTAGCATCAAGGGGGTCGACTCCATTGAATTCCACCTGAAGCAGGCCCTTCACCTGGCACAGAGACGGCAGCGTGCTCCAACGTGGGGAACACCAAGAAGGGAAGAGCGTGGGGGAAGAAGCCTGAGAGCCCTACGGCAGTGTGACCGCCCAAAGCCAGGCATCAGGGTTTCGAAACCAGGTGGGCTTGAGGAGGGCATTCCCTGCGTCAGTGCCTCCCCCGCCCTTGGTAAGGGGTATGGTAACGTCACCCACAAGCCAGGGAGCCCAAGGCAGTCACAACAGCCTGGCCACGTGACTGGCGCTCGCCAATAGCCCTGCAGTCTCCAGGGCGACGCGGGGGTCGCTCTGCAGCCACCGCTGCTGGCGCGCCCCCGCCCCGCATCCGCACTGCAGAGACGCCCGCGAGCAGGCGCGCGAGCCACGTGCTGCGCTGCGGACGGGCGGAACCCAGAGGGGCGCGGGGCGCTGGGACCCGCTGACAGGCCGGGACCGCAGGCGGGCAGAGTAACACTGCGCCATCAGCAAATCCCTCCTGCTCGGAAGGCAGCAGTCCTGAGGAGGTAGCCTAAGGAGGCGTTTGTGCGCGCGCGTGTGTGTAACTTGGCAGGCGGCGTACCGCGCCCCCCACCCCGGAGGGACGCATTGGCTGCTCCGGGCAGGCAGGGGTGGGCTGGGAGGGCCTGGGTCGGTGCTGACTGCTCTCCCGCTCGTGTTCCCAGGCCTGCTTCTTGCTCGGGGCGCCATGGCGGTGGCGATGCTGCGTGACTGGTGCCGGTGGATGGGCGTGAGCGCGCGCAGGGGTCTGCTGGTGCTGGGTATCCCCGAGGACTGCGAGGAGGCCGAGGTGCACCAGGCCCTAGAGGCCGCGCTCTGGCCGCTGGGCCGCTTCTCTGTACTCGGGCGGGTGTTCCGCGAGGAGGAGAATGCCGCGGCGGCCTTGGTTGAGCTGGCGCAGGAGGTGGACTACGCGCTGGTGCCCCGCGAGGTCCCGGGCAGCGGGGGGCCCTGGCGCGTGGTGTGCGTGCCCCGTGGCTCAGGCGAGGAGGTGCTGGGCCGCGTGTTCCACTTCCTCGAGCAGCAGGGCCAGACAGCCGAGAGCGTGGCGGGCGCCCTGGGGCTGGGGCTGAGGCGCGCGTGCTGGCTGCGCTCGGTCAGCCAGGCAGTCCAGCCCTGGGTGGAGACGGTGCGCTACCAGCCCCTGGGCGTGTTCTCTGGGTGCGAGGAGCTGGGCCCCGGGGAACAGCCCTTCGAGGCCTGGCTGGACCATGCCAGCGACATGCTGCACGTGTGGCAGGCAGTCTCCGAGCGAGAACGGCGGCGGCGGCTGCTGGAGGGCCTGCGCGGCACCGCCTTGCAGCTGGTGCGCGGGCTCCTGGCTGAGAACCCCGGGCGCACTGCGCAGGAGTGCCTGGGCGCCCTGGTCCAGGTGTTCGGGGACACCGACTCAGAAGCAGCCACACGGCTGAGGTGCCTGACGGCCCAGCAGAGGCAGGGTGAGCGCCTCTCTGCCTTCGTTCTGCGCCTGGAGATCCTGCTGCAGAAAGCCATTGAGAAGGGGGCTCTGGCCAGAGCCTCGGCGGACCACCTGCGCCTGCGGCAGGTGCTCACCAAGGCCACCCTCATCGAGCCACTAGAAGAAGCACTGCGCAAGCTGAGACTGGTTGGGAGGGCACCCAGTTTCCTGGAGATGCTGGGGCTGGTCCGGGAGTCTGAGTCGTGGGAAGCCACTCTGTTCAGCAGAGAGAGGGCCGCAGCAGAGGAAGGGGCTGGAGCTGACCCTGGGGCAGACGGAGACAAGGTCGAGATGGCATCCAGGGGTGGGCAGGACCCTGCCTCTGCCCTGATTCCTGTGAATGTAGGGCAGTCAATGCCCACCGAAGGCCCTGGCGCCATTGTGAGCAGCACCCCAGCCCAGGAAGGCAGTGCTCCTGGGGCAGACCCAGGAGGTTCAGGCTGTGGGCCGCAGGGCCTCAGCCAGACAGCAGAGCCAGAGGTAATGGACGCCCAAGAGGCTCCTGCCGAGCTCCTGGAAGAGCGTCTCCAGCCCATTCTGGAGGAGTCAGAAAATGAGGGTGAAGCTTGTGACCCAAGCCTGCCCGAGCCCTCGTCCTCTGAGGCCTCCTTCTCTGACCAGTAGATCCCACTGTCCCTGGTCCCCTCACCTCTCCTCCAGGAGCCCTGGGGGCAGCAGGACGAGAACCGGGGTGGGAAGGGGGCCTCCTGGTCCCAGGGTAGCAGCAGGGCAGAGGGAAGAGCCTGCCAGCCGTCCCTGGGGCCACCCTTCCCTCAGCGCTTCAGAGCTCCCACATCCCCAACTGCAGTGCCATTATGCAGCACCACCCAGGAATCCCGGCCCTACTCCTGTCCAGTGCATCCAGCCCAGGGAAACTTGGAGAAGTCATGCCCCCTCCACTCCTCCCCCGGCCCTTGGCCCCGGGGGCTCAGCCTCAGCTTGCCCGTCGCAGACTCCAGCCTTTGCTTGTACCTTGGAGCTGTGTGTGTGTTCTTACCCTAGCGGGGCCTCTCAGGAGAGCCCCCCCAGCCCAGTCCCTCAAGATGGTGAGAAGGGCAGGCTGGGGTCCACAGGAGTGGAGTGAGGATGATCCTCACCTCGACAGAGACCTCTGGGCGGAAGGAGGGACCAGGGAGGCCCCTCAGGGACTGACTGTGCTTGAAACGCCTCTCCAGCTGCTGTTTGTGACTCAGTTTTCTCCACGCGGTGTCTTGTGCTCTGCTGTGTTGTCCAGTGTTTTTCTGTGCCTGTCCTGTGAGGGCCACAGGGCCGGGTTACACCCCAGCGTGGGGGTGGGGAACGGGCTCTGGATGGGTATGCGTCCCCTCATCTTTGACTCCGCTGCCTCCAGTGGGTCCATTTCCATGTTTTCCCTCAATAAATCTGGTTGAGTGTTTCTGTGGGGGTCTCATCTCTGTGTGGGCACTAGAGGGGAGGGCCTCAAGAGTCCATCTTGGAGTGTGGCCAGGGCAGGGTCTATGAGGGACCATGGGCCTGTAGGCTGGAAGGTTGTATTCTGGGAGTCGGGTGTTGTGGCTGGTATTGTCTCCAGTGCAATAGCAACTTTTCAGAAAGAGAGCAGACACTCTGTCTGGAGCTCTGGGCAGAGCGCTTAGGGATAGGGGTGCTTGCCAGCCTATGTGGCCACCTGCCTGTGAACAGCCTACACCCACATACCAGGCACCACTTCTCTTGCCATCAAAGGACGTTTGGAGACCTAGGGGGATATGATGACAATGGACACAGACATGACTGGGACAGGCCACTTTCCATGGTGGTCAGCCTGTCCAGTGATCTTCCCTCCAGGGCTGCCACTGGCCTCCACCCTTGTGGAAGAGGGGCAGTTGGTAGGGAGGGGAAACAGCTTGGCGAGATGAAATGGCTCAGTGGTCCTAAAGCCTACCCTTATCCTCAGGAGACAACCCATGTGACACGAAGCTGCAGCAAATGGAACATCTTCCTTCTCAACTCTGTGTTCATGGCAGTGTGACGAACCAACCAACCCCGTGCTCGTTGTCATTCCATAGAAAGATGGGCCATCTCCTCCTGTGCACTTTGGAGCCCCTGAAACCCCCTGGAGGGGCCACTGTGAGTGCCTCTGACTCCGTGGCAGTGTGAGACACAGAATGCCCTTGAAATTTGAGACAGTACATTTCTGCTTGTTGGTGGCCATTTGTGGCATTGCTGTCCTAGCACAATGAGATAACTAAGAATTTGGTCCTGGAGAAGGGAGGGATGCTCTAGCCAAGTCCTACAGTGAGGAAATGAGGTGCAGTAGTGAATACAGTCTGGAGGAATTTTACTAAAAGCCCAAGGAGCTTGGGAGACTTTACACATCGCAACACATTTGTGCTGCCCCCACAATGGTAGTTTCTGCTCATCACGCATCATAAAATTGAAGATAAGATGGATTTAAACATGAAAACAGGCTCGGGCAATGTGTATGGGCAAACTAAGAATATATGCCCTAAAGGGATCTCTGGTGGACCCGTGACAAGTAGCTGCACTGCAATCCTGAAGGTGCACAGTTCTAATCCACCAGGTGCTCTGCTGGAGAAGGAGCAGTAATCTCCTCCTGTGCCAGTCAGATCCAATTTGACAGCACACAACAAAAAAATTAAAAATATGTGCCCTAAAACTTACACCAACATCAAGGCTGCAACTATCTTTTGTTAAAAAGACATTAAGCCTAGGGAGCTTTGGTGGCCTAGCCTAGTGGCAAGAGGCTGTGCTGCAATCCTGAAAGCACATGGTTCAAATCCACCAGATGTTCCACTAGAGAAGGAGGGGTGATCTCTTCCTGTGTCAGTCGGATCCAACTTGATGGTACATAACAATGGAAAGAGACATTAAGCCTGTGAATGATGAGTCTAACCAGTCACAGTAAGAAAACTCATCAACTCAGACAGATGGAGAAAGTCTACAGGCAAGAAACAGCCCAAAAGTGTCGTATCTGTCTTTTCAATATCTAGCACATATTGGAGGTCAGCAGAATTTTTTGAAGGAACGCTGAAATGTGTTCTTGGTTTCAAAAGGTGAGGAAACAAACTTACAGAAGCACAAGACTTACAGAAGACCCAAAGTCTTAGAACACACACAAAAGGTGCCATTGACAGTCAGTGGTTATAACTGGAAATAGAAAGATTGCACATTGCATTTTTTTCCATCCAAAAAGGAAAGAAAAAAACATTCTGGACTCAAAAAGTACTTTAATAATAAGTGAAAACTTCCAAAATTTTGTAAAGAACATAAACTAGAGATTTGAGAAGCTGAGAAATGCTTAACTAAACACCAAAGAAACGCTCACTAAGATAAAGTTAAACTTTGAAAACTAAAGTCAAATGAACCAGACCCTGAAAGCATAGGGAACTAACACCCCAAAACACCTTGGATTTGCCATCAGAAATCACAGAGGCTAGAAGGAGCTGGCCGCTGTTTTTATGTCCTAGAAGAACTTGATACACAACTCTCTTTCAAAGAGAAGTAAGAGATTCTCAGGTGATGGAAAAGGAGCATTTGTCATCATCACTTCAATTATCAAAGAATGAAAAAATTACAGTGTTTACAGAAAGTAAATGATAAATGAAGGGATCTTGGAATAGCAGGAAGAGACAATGATGAGGAAAATACAGGAAAATAGACTATACTTTCCTTCTCTGAGTTTCCTAAATGGTTTTCCAGTTACAGCCAGTTAGATTCCATTGAGTTGTCTATGTAATGACATTTTGCACCCTTCATGGATGATGTTCTTGATATCCTCCCACAGCTCCTCCGGTCTTTGTATATCAGTGTTCAAGGCCTCAAACCTGTTCCTGAGATGCTTTTTAAATTCAGGTGAGATGGACTCAAGGCAAAATTTTGTTTCTTGTGGATTAGCTTGAATATTTTTTTAGCTTCAGATTAACTTGTATATTAGTAGTTGATGGCCTATTCCACATTCAGCACCTGACCTAGTTTTTACAGCTGATAATCAGCTTCTCCGGTGATTCTTTCCATTGATGTAATCAATCTGATTCCAGTGTAGACCATCAGATGAAGTCCATGTGTATAGTTGCAGTTTGTGTTTTCTGGAAAGGTATGTACAATGAATAAATCATTGCACAAAATTCGATCATCCCATCTCCAGCCTAATTAATGTCACCAAATCCTTGTTTTCTGACTACTGATTTTTCTTCCCTGTTATAAAAGAGATGAAAATTTGGGGGGAAGGCAATAGAACTACTTCTATTAAATGATTTGTTTGTTATGTGTCACTGAGTTGTCCTTGACTCATAGCGACCCTATGTACAGCAGCTCTGATACCTGCCCTGTCCTGAGTCAGTCTCACTGACTCTGACACATCTACCCACACTGTAATTACTGTGTCAATTCATCTCATCTGAAGTCTTCCTTTCCTGTGCTGGATAACTAACTCCTCACCCTTCAAAGAATAATATAAAAACTGATAAAAAGATCCAGGCAAGCTGTAAGATACAAGCTGTAACATACAACAATAAATTATAGTTCTATACACCTTTATTATTGTTAGGTATAATAAAGTCAAGTAGAACTCGTAACAATCCTATGCACAATAGACCTGAACCTTGCCCTATCCTGTGCCATCTTTATCATGTCCCACACATTTGAGCCCATTGCCACAGACACTGTAACAATCTATCTTGTTGAGTGTCTTCTGCTCTTTTGCTGACTGTCCACTTTTCCAATCTCGATGTCCTTTTCCAAGGTATATATAGCCTCTCCCAACAATATATCCAAAGTATGAGAGATGAAGCTTCACCATATCTGCCTCCACAGAACACTCTGGTTACGCTTTGTCCAAGACATATCTGTTCTTTATTTGGAAGTCCATAGGATGTTAAGTTCTTTTCTCCAACACCACAACTTAGATGCATCAGTTCTTCTTCTGTCATCATTATTCACTATCCAGCTCTCAGATGCATACATAGCAAGTGGTTGGAAAAACCCTGGCTTGAATGAGGCACACCTTTGTCTTTAAACTGACATCATTGCTCTTCATGACTTTGGAAAGATCCCTGACAGCAGTCTTTACCAATGATGTAAGTTTTCTTATCTCCTGACTGCTGGTACCAAGGATGTTGACTGTATATTCCAGAAAGATTAAATCATTGGCAATTTCAATGTTTCTGACCTATAGACAAATGGAATAGAATTCTAAATTGATAAATAAACTCATATATCTAAGAAAATAGACTCCCCAACAAAGGATGTTGGAACAACTTGAAATTCACATATAGAAGCTTGACGTCAGCCTGTCATCCCATTCTTTACAAAAATCAACTAAAAATGTGCCAAAGACTTTAAGAAGAGAGAGGAAAACACAATATTCCTAGAAGCAAAAGACATTTTTATGATCTTGGATTGTGATTCTTCAATAGAATGACAAGTTCTATCCTGACCACCACAATAATGTTATAATTGCAGTAAAGTAAACCTGAGACTCTGCATGTAAAAGTTCTGTTTCTGCTATGCTTTAGTCTGTTAACTGTGCAACAGTATCACGAAAAGTTTGAGACTTTCAGAGAATTACCAAAAAGCGACACAGTGATATTAAACGAGCATAAACTGTTGGGACAATGGCTCAAATTTATTTACTGGGTGAAAGA